GTGGGCGTTAAATGCTTTTTAGCTAAGTCAATAGTAGCAGCACTCGAGAAGGAGTTATTACAGATTCGCAGCACCCATCACACGTCTTCTATCCCAAACCCCAGGAGATCATTCTGTACTTTTCCAATACTATGCTGTGAAAATTCTGGTTTCTTAACCCCTTCCTGGCACCCCGTCTCCTCCTACATCCCTACTGTAGCTAGAAATTATGGTATGTAGCTCCACTAAGCCCATCAGTCATGGCAAGTGGAAAATTGATAGCTGGAATTAATCTGACACAGAAGGAATAAAATTATCTACAGCTCTAAAAGCTAATCAAAACTTAAAATCCTAGAGTGGGTTAGTTTTTTTCCTAAAAAAAAAAAAAAAAACCCCAAAAAAACCCCCAAGAAAACCAGCGGGGAAGTGATGACCTTGGCTATTGATTTCAAATGGTGTGTGCTCAGACCGACCTGGCCCAACAGCGGGTGTTCAATCACACATACTCAACCTCATCCAGAGCTCGTGCTTGAACATTCAGGTATTCTGAGATTTAATTATTACTGCAATTAGTCCGGAGACAGAGCAATTCCTGACACCAGTACTGTTAATTAATAAGTGATTGTTTATATGGGTGTTAAATAAATGAATGGTTACATACTGTTGATGGAACCAGTCGTCCCTTTTTTCAGAATAGCCCTGTCCTGCATGTTGTCCCTGGCTGGCAGGCCACCATCCATCCTTACAGCTTCCATTCATCTGCTCCTTATCATCAAGCCTGAGGGCCATCATGTTTTGGAAAAGGTGACGGCTACTTTGGAAAAGGGAATCTTAACTGTGGCAAATAGACTCAAACTATTCGAAAGTCACAGACAACGAACACCACCTCTGAGGAGTGAAATTTTTCAGCTTTTCTTGGAAGAAACACACATACTCTGCTGAAAAATAACGTAGCAGACTGAAGAAACAGGAAAAAAGTAAACCCGTAGTTTATATTTTCTACATTAAAAATATCATCCCAACTGCAGCAGTAAGCACATGAGAGGTAAACAGAGATAAACATGAACAAATGACAACGGGAGTGAGAGGGGAAAGGAAAAGACTACGTGAGGCAGTTTGGGAGAGATAGGAAGAATACAGGGAATAGGGAAAATAATATCCAGAAGTGCTCTGTAGGTAAAGCAGCTCTTAGAACCCACTCCACTACCCCATATGCCAGACTTCTCCATGCTTAAGATTAGGGAGCCTAGCAATAGCAGCAAAGCCAAAAACCCCAGGCAACCCCCCTGCCCCTGGATCCTCTGTGTACCTATAAACCTTTGTTTTGCACATAAACAATCTATTTTACTTTATATTAATGCAATGTATGCCGAGTTTAAACCTTTTTCCCCAAAGCTTTTGGCTGGGAACACTGTACTGTCAAAACAGTCCTGAGAAGGAAGAAAGTCTTGTAACTGGAAAATAAATCTTTTGGGTAGCCTTTTTAGAAATATTGTTCCTGAATCCAGGTAACTAGGGGAAAGGTTCCTCCAGCTACCTTTAAGTTAAAGAATGGAACCTAACGACCTACTTACCCTTCTAGATACGTTACCCTCTGTGCTGGTTTTAGTGGGGACAGAGTTAATTATCTTCACAGTAGCTACTACGAGGCTGTATTTTGGATGTGTGCCAGGCTGTGTTTTGGATCTGTGCTGAGAACAGGATTGATAACGCTGGCGTTTTCAGTTGGTGCTGAGGAGTGTTTGTACCAAGTCAAGGACTTTTTTGGTTTCTGGTGCTGCGTCCGTGTTCCCAACTTCTTTGCTACAAGTAGCTGGGAGGGGATATAGCCAGGATGGCTGGCCTGGACTGGCCAAGGGGGTATTTCGCTCCATAAAACACCATCCTGAGTATGGAAGTTGGAGGTTGGGCCAGGAGTGGAGTGTTTCTCCCTGTCGGTCAGCAGGTGGTGAGCGGTTGTACCATCTGTATTCTTTTCCACCGTTTTCATCACATATTATTAGTATTGCTAGCATTATTGGTATTATTTTATTTCATTTACTTTCAATTATTAAATTGTTCCTATCTCAACCCACGAGTTTCCTTGTCTTTTCTGCCAATTCTCCTCCTCCACTGGAGGAGGGGGGAGGTGGGCGGGCGGCTGCGTGGTACTTAGCTGCTGGCTGGGATTAAGCCACGACACCCTCTGCACTTGACTCAAACAGCAGAAACAGCTGACTGGTAGCACAAGAAATTCTCAAGCTGCCCTGGCCTCCAGAGAAAAATCTTTAGGTGCCATGAGAACACCGCCAGGCTCGAGACTTCTCAAATCTCACCTCTGTGCACGTCCGTTTGGAGAACTGTAAGAGTGCTCGCAGCATCCAGGAACAAATTTCTACCTACATGAAAAATGTCCCCGCAGAAAGATCTCCTGTGGAGATGTGGGCTGGAATCTCCTCTGCTCTAAGCCATTTCCTGCTGTCCTGGCAGGCAGGAGGTTGCAATCTGCTGCCACCTGGCTAGGTGGCTTTTTTGGGAGGAGGTGGGGGGAGGAAGGAAGGACCCACAAGTTCCCAGCTGACAAAGAAACTTGACCTTTATGCCAACTGTTCCCCTTGCAGCCAGGGCGCTCAGGACAGGGGGAGGAACAATGCCCACGTGCCTTCTCCCCACTGCCAACCGGATTCGGATATAAGCAGCAGCACAGTTGACGTGTGAGAGAGCAGAACATAGCAGACACCAGCAGCAAAAGGGTGTCACCTCAAGAGAGCACCGCGGGATACAGCGTTTCTCTTATCAATTGTTTTATTGCTGGGGAGGAAACCTTGGTCTTCTCCCAGATCAAGGGAAGCACAGAAGCTAAACCACAATTTGCTAACATCATAAACTGAAACCCAGAAAGTAAGTGAAAAACTGTTCTTCCGCAACAGTATCGGCCTCCAGGGCCCTACCATCAGCTATGTGCCATCGCTCCATGGAAATCAGATGAGTGGCAATTTCCACAGGCTGAGGTTTGGGGGTTTAAAAGGTTCCGTCAAGTGTTGCCTTGTCAGAAATCAGCACTGCCTCTTGGTTAAGGAAAACCGCTCTCTGCCAGACTGCCAGACCTGGGCACACACAGAGGGATGTGCACAAAGCCCCAGCTACCCAAAGAATGTCAACATGAAAATAAGCACCTGCCTCCTTCAACACTAATTCTCAGGAGACACATCACAGCGCCCAGATCTCAGATTCAAATGCAAGGAATTAACATTAAATATGCTCCAAATGCGTATTTCTATACAAACGGGGATGAAAGTGAAGACATTATTAGATAACAAGGTAAGTTTCCTACTAACATTCATTCAGTTTAGAAGAACAAGCTATTTCAAAAGCTGTCTGGTGCCTTTGGTAGCGAAGCTGCTTCCAGAGTTGTTCGACATACAATTATTTTGCCCGACTTCAGAGCTCATGGATTGAAATGGCCCAACAGTCTGTCCTTTAGGTCATCAGTGTTAAAACACAGGCATAACTGGGTATTATTAACATGACTGCCCTCATCAAATAAGAATTTCAGACTACAGCAAATGCTGGCTGAGAAAGGACAGACGTTTTCTACACACCAACTTACTCTTGCGCTGAAGAGGGATGCTACCCTGCTTAACATTAACATGTTACAAGGCAGAGAGTATTGCCCCGTGCTTACATCCTACTTCAGGCAGAAAGCGAAGACACACCACACCTACATTCTGCCCTGGTACAGTGAGAACTTACCCGCGTAGGCAGCATACCTGACTTAACATCCAGAGCGCAGTCGCCGGCTCGCAGGTTCTTACCGACACGCGAGACAGACCGAGGGCAGGCAAGCTTGAAGAATTCCAGCAAGACAACCTAGAGCCAGGTCTGAGCTGCTGACTGCTTCTCTGTAACAGCAGAGGTTTGAGAGGTAACCACATTCTTCAATGCAATATGCACTGACCCAGGAGCAGTACCACTGGAGTGAGTGCTGCACACGGTGCTACTATGCTCTGCTTAGTGTAGCTTTGCAACTGACTTACACTGTGATTTTAATAATTTGGGTCCAAAACTTTGGACCAATTCTTCCGGGTATCAAATCCAGCAGCACAAGCCTCATTTTTAAAGATGCTGACACTTCCTGCCCCACCTGAAGTCACTAGAAGCCACAACTTAGTTCTGCTAAGAAGAAAAAAGAAACTAAGAACTTACTAGCAGATTCTGAAAGTAACGTTTTTTACCTCTTTGTGTCTATTTTCCTGCCTGTGACACAGAGGTCACAGTTTTAAGCCAGCAGGGATGGAGGACTGTTAATACTCAAGCAATGGGCAGCTTCAACCTGGCTGGTAAGGATCGTGGCTGAGGTGTCTCTGTTCCTTGCCTCTGTCTTGTCTACACGGTTAAATAGTTAGGATAAAACTGGCCACAGAGTGCATAGAAGACGGGAACCCTGACCCTCTGTTCTACCAGACACTAGTATAATTCAAGTAGTTATATAAATAATGAACCTCACCACTTCAGTGGAAAAGACTTGCAAATAAAAGGCAATGCCCTAGCCCTCGGTGAATTCGGCAATACTCTGACATCACCATGAAGCACAGCTTTCCCATTTCTGCACACACAGCACACATACAGAGGGTTTTACATAAAAGAATCCTGTCTTGTCATTACTCAGAATCCAGGTCACTACTTAGGGGAAAAGGGGAGACAAGAGAAGGTGCAAAAGAAACCGCTCACTGAATGCTTCTGTGCCAGTTGGTACCTCTCAGATCACCCATATGCTTTGCGTTCTTTTAAGAATGATCATTGTTTTTTCACAAACTTAAAGCCTGAGACTTAGTTTCATCTAATAGCATATCATTTCTGAAAACAAAACAGCACTGTCCACATAACACAGGCAGCTTCTGACTGTTGAAGATCTTCATCAGTTCTTTGCCCATCAGGTATTTCACAGAACTCTGTTCCTGTAAGGCTTCCTTTAAATCTGTAGCAATCTGAGGCTCTGGATCTACTCTGGGTTTACATCCAATGATGTCCAAAGTGCCTCTTCACTTCCAAACTCCATCAGGTTCTGGAAAAATGACCCTAAAGGTCAAGTTTATTCGTGCATCTCTAGAATGATATTCCTTAGGGACTCGATGCTGTTAAGCGGCATTGGAAAAACAAACAAAACAAAACAAAAAGCATGAGCTAGTGTATTTAAAATACAGGTAATTAAACAATGTACAAACCACTTCATTTCCTGTGATGGCTTTTTATTAACATTTTGGTAAGGCAACAAATTCGTGTTCTGACTGCTCAGGGCCACTGAAAAGAAAAGGCTGTTGTAGATTACTGTAGATTTGTTAACTTAAGTTGCAACATTTTTATATTTCATGTTCCTAAATTGATTTTGCCTTTTTCAGCTGCAGGCTGAAGCCTTCACTGCTGAACTTCAATGCTGCAACATCTGAGGCTGATTCCTATTACATCACTTAGCACTTGAAAGAAACCCCATTGTTTCTGCGGATGCTTTGAAACTCTGAGGCAAAAAGCAGTACTGACATGCTGGGAAACAATTGTGCCACTGCAAGCAGAATGTCCCATACCTTTATGGGAATGCCTCGTGCATATTTATCAAACTGCATTGCAATAAAGCACACAAACGGTGTGTCAAGGAGTTCTCACCTGCCAATCCTCCTGGGTAGCTCCTTCCATCATCAGCAGAGTCCCGTGATCAAGTGGGATTCTTAGTCTTTCAACGTAAGTATAGTCTCCATTCTCTTCCTAAAAAGAAGCATTAGACACTTAAGAAGTGTGCCTGTGCATTTGGTAGAAAACCAGCCCTCTACAGAAGAGCTTGAAAAGCTGCGAGGGGGGTGGAAACGAAGCTTTTACAAGATCAAGTCTAACTAAACCTCTCACATTTCATAAAGAGTTCAGGAGCCAAGCATTTTAGGGATGAGGGAAGCCATCATGTCTCACTGCCCATACAACACAGCTGAAGTTCAACAGCACATCTCTACATCTAGTGCAAAATCCTGGAGCGAGGCTGCGAACCTTAGGGAAACAACCACTCTTGAAATAAACAGTTCTGCGTAGAGACATTCCACAATGGCCATTCCAGTTCCACCCGTTAACTACCTGAGCAAAAAATACACATCTTCCTTCTGTTCGAGTTTGTCTTCTATGTTACATGTTGGTATAGTATTATCTGCTAGACTAAACACTTCTCCTATCCCAAAAAATCTCCTTTTCCTATAGTACCTTGTATTATCATCGCTACGCAAAACAGACTGCTAAACGAGAAGACAGACGATGTGCAAACTTTCGTTAAGCCTTCGGGTTACGTACAGCTTTCTTAAAGCACAAATACAACAACCCGACACCGTAACACCGAGCGTCAGCCTCACACATCCCACGTCGGGGCAATAGCGACTCTCTCTTGCTTGGCACGATCCCTTCCAGTCTTACATCAGACCAATACACCGCTAAGTCAAGTTGGTCAGGGAAGTCTATTAAAGCCAACAGGGTTCTCTCTGCCAATCATGACAGTAACCTCGTCAGGAAGCCGTGTTACACGTGAACTATCAGAGTTCATAGATGAGCTACCTTCCAGCACGCCACATGGGCTGGTATCATAACGCTCTAGGTGCTCCTTTAATATTACCTGATTTTAGCCTTCAGCAGCTGCAGAAAAACCAAACCTTGAACAACTTCCATTTAACCTCTTGCCTACTTAAGGCTGGCACTTTGATTATTTCATTAACACTAAAATATGAATAGGAAAAGCAGGATGGCCCCCAAATACAGAATGGCAGCACATACTTTGCCTTTTATAGATCTCTATTGCCAACTTTGCAAGCTGCCAAGGAGGAGTAGAAACCAACTCTCTGAAACTCAGGGAAGTTTCAGATAGGAAATCACCTGCAAAATACAGGGATTATTTTAGAGAGAGGAGGAGTTAGAGAAAGATTTTAGCGCCGAAAGGGAAGGGACTCAAGAGGTCTTTTATTTTTAAGTTATAGGAAGCCACAGATAGCTTGAAAGTGAAAAGTGGACAATCAGTGCCCTCCACTGAAAAAAAAAAAAAAGGCAGCAGGTTCTGAGTCTCCACACTGTACAAGTACAGGGTTAACCCTGTTCTGAGCGCACTGCATATAGCAAACAGCCTGAATGCGTGTTTGTTATTGTGCCACTGCCCCTAGAAGCAGATATACTGGCTTTTTTTCCAAATAGATCACCAAATCAGTTATTTATTCTTGAAAGAAAAGTAATGAATACACAACTACTATAAAGGGGAGAGAAGAAAAAAAAAAGTGCTAAATTAATTAATGCTAAAAAAATACATACTTCTAAAGCATGACGGTAGTCCTGTCAGGGACCATGTATTTCAGACAGCTGCTGAACAAAAGCTTCACATTTTTTATTTTTTTAAGTTAGTTTGGCGGTATCTTCTCTCCAGTTTCTCATATTGCTTGGTGGACTCCTAAAATCACACTTGCTGAGTGTTTAGGAGGAGGCAATGCTAACCATATCCTGGGCTGCATCAGAAGAATTGTCGAGCCAGCAGGTCGAGGGAGGTGATTCTGCCCCCCTACTCTGCTCTTGAAAGACCCTGCCTGGTGTGCTGTGTCCAGCTGTGGAGCCCTCAACATCAGAAGGATATTGACCACTTGGAGCGAGTCCAGAGGAGGCCACGAAGATGCTCAGAGGGCTGGAGCACCTCTGCTATGGGGACAGGCTGAGAGAATTGGGCTTGTTTAGCCTGGAGAAGAGAAGGCTCCGGGGAGACCTTATAGCCCCTTCCAGTGCCTGAAGGGGCTACAAGGAAGCTGGGGGAGACTTTTTACAAGGGCCTGTAGGGACAGGACAGGGGGTAACGCGTTTAAAGTGAAAGAGGGTAGACTTAGATTGGATATCAGGAAGAAATTCTTCACAGGGAGGGTGGTGAGGCACTGGAACAGGTTGTCCAGAGAAGCTGTGGATGGCCCATCCCTGGATGTCTTCAAGGCCAGGCTGGATGAGGCTTTGAGCAACCTGGTCTAGTGGAAGGGGTCCCTGCCCATGGCAGGGGGTTGGAACTAGATGGTCTTTAAGGTCCCTTCCAACCCAAACCATTCTGTGATTATTTCAGACCCAGCTGAAGGCAGCAATTACACCCAACAAAAGCTGTTACCACCAGAGTGGAATTTGTCACATCTGTCATGTAAAACGAAACTGTACTTTGGGGGGCAGAGGGAATAGAAGAGATGAGAGGTCACACCTTGTGTCACCTGTGACAGAAGCAGATTGAAAAGAAGCTGGAAACAATACAGGACAACTGAGACTGGGAAATGGAATTGTCACACTAAGATGTAACCCAGCTTGAGGTGCAGGTATAGCTACCTCACACTGACAAAGTCCCACATTTCTGAGACAGAAACAGACGTTACAGGATCTCCAGGCTTCAGCTGTATGTTGTTATTCAGGAAAACTAACAGTGCTCTGCACAGACCTGGCAGTTAGAAGGGTCATAAAAAGGCAGACGCAGTCTTTTAAGAGCCATTAAAAAGACCCAACAGCTCTCATCCAACACATTTTAATGCTTTTACAAGAACTCACATTTTCAAAAACCTTAACTAACTGCCTTGACGCTTAATTGTGCAGTGGCCCAACAACATGCAGGTTTGTCTTTTTTAAAATTTGTAGCTTAATGAAAAGTTCAAAATACTGAAGTATCAACTACTGGGAAAATTATGTCGTGGACTTTAAACAAAACGTGATTTGCAGAAGAACAACTGGGAGTGTGTCTGCAGACGAAAAGGATGCAGACAGAAAGAAAACTACAAAACCCCTGAAATGCAAAGCACTCACTTGGGATCAAATCAATTCCTGATAATAAAAAGCACCACTTGATGCAACTGACTGTTTATTCGCACCATTGCCACTTCCTGTTCATGTCTGGGACTGGAAGTGGCAGCGTGACAGAACAAGGCTGTTCAGTACTGTTGGTGCAACTGGCAGCACTGGCTGGCAGTTCCGGATTTGTGCATTTCTTGGGGATACCTAGGGGCCCAAGGCTGTGCCAGTGATGAATTAAGCTCGCTAAGCCTCTGGAAACAGGGAGTGCTGAAGGCACTCAGAACCACCTGCAATATGTATCCTTCGTAACGACAGTGTGAAACATTTTTAAGCTTCTAGAATTATTAGCCATTCGTCTTGCTCTATTAAAAGTAAGGTGCAATGTGAAAACCGTTTTCTTAAACTACAGAGGAAGCAAGGAAAAAACCCTCAAAAATAGCTATTATAAACATGACTGCTGATGAAAAGCAGAGAAATACCACTGCATGGCTGTTTTCTGTTTCACAGGATTACATCACTTCATTCTGTGGATGGACAACAGCAGACTTATTTTTATCTCCTGATCATCTTGATTAAAAAAGAATTCTTCTGAGATAAATGATTTAGGAGAAAGCATCCTTCTGGCTTAGAAAAGCCAGTATCCAAAAGTAGCAGTTACTTTCTCTTTTCAATGAGACACCTCTGAGCTGAGTTTTACTTAGAGAGTTTTATGTCAGTTGTTTTTGCAGAGGCAATGAATTTAGACAAAAAGTTTTTACTTACATGTTGTAACCAACACTGTCCACCAACTCTCATTTCAGAACTTTTATCTCTAGAGCTGATGTTAGACATACAGGAAACTCAGTTGAGTTTCAGAAGTCAACAAGTTTATGAAAGAAATTTATACCCCACATCTAAGGAGGACAAGACTTTCTACAATACTGACAGCAAACATGGAAAGAAATGTATCAGTTAACTTTTATATGGTCACTTTGCAACCCTATGTATGTACTATAAAACCACCTCCTTCCAAGTTCTAGTAAAGCAACTGTGCAGCTTCTAGGCATATTCGAATGTTCATAGTTTGAGTTGCAGATTTAATACAATCCAAGCTTTACGCTGTCCAGGTGCACTGGCTAAAATTCAGGTAACTACAGTTAATAAGTGATGAAAGCTCAGCAGGAGTTGATGGGAAGCTGTGGATATAAAATCTGTAAGTATTCCTAGACTCCATCAAGGGTTTTTTCTTAAAATGGTAACAAGATCAAAAAGGTATGAAAGAGAAAAGATCTAGTATAAAACATAAAAATCACCTATGTTTGTTTCTTAAGTCTCAGGCAAGTTTACTGAGATAGTAGTAGGAAATGGGTTCTATAGTGTTGTCGTGGTTTTAGTGTGGAAGCATGTTCTATTATAAGGAAAAGTAAATGGAAACATCCTGTAGAAGAATGTACAAATAATAATGCAGTTACACATGCAAATGATGCAAAATTATTTCCAAAGGCTAAAGTCAGCTGCATCATTTCAGCCTTCCAGCACCTGAAGAGAGCTGGAGAGGGGACTTTTTATAAGGGCCTGTAGGGACAGGACAAGGGGCAATGGCTTTATATTGAAAGAGAGTACATTTAGACTGGGTATCGGGAAGAAGTTTTTCACAAAGAGGGTGGTGAGGCACTGGCACAGGTTGCCCAGAGAAGCTGTGGATGCCCCATCCCTGGAAGTGTTCAAGGCCAGGCTGGATGAGGCTTTGAGCAACCTGGTCTAGTGGAAGGTGTCCCTGCCCATGGCAAGGGGGTTGGAACTAGATGGTCTTTAAGGACCCTTCCAACCCAAACAATCCTATGACTCTGCGACTCATGGAGAATGCTGGCTTCTAGTCCTTTGCTTTTTCTATGACCCAAGAGATTTATCCTTACAAAACTTTTAGTATTTTTCAAACTTCCATCTTGCTTTTATCCCTCTTTTCCAGTTTACCCCTCGACAACAAAGTGGTCTCATCTACCAATACTTCTGCATTTTTACCTATTTATTCTCACTACATCTGACAAAGTCCTCACGGCAGCTCTTTTCTTTATGGATTCAGTACGAATGAACATCAGTTATATTACCCTTTCCTCATATAATCCACTTGCCCACCTACATAGGACTATCTTTAAATTCCCTCAGTCTTTCTGCAGGTGACCCAGCAGACTGCAAGTGAGGTAGCTCTAAAGCACTCGCATCTTCCTCTCTGCTCATCTGTAACTGCTCAAGGCCAGCCAATACTGTAGGACAATACCTCCTTCCCTGCAGCCACTGCTGCCTGCAAATCTCCTTTGTGCCAATCTAAAAGTTCAATCCTCCTCATCCCGTTCCAAGCCTCTGCTTCTACTGTGCTCTGTATATTCCCACGTCCATCTTCAATTAGGCCTGTTAGGAAACAAAGGGTTATTTTTAGGTTTTCAAAAGTACTATGAGATCTTTAACTTCTGCTAGAACAGCTACTCAAAGAGAGAAGGACCATGTTTTACTGTTTCATCTCAAGGACAGACCCATCTGAAGGCTGATTCTGAGAACACCACAAACACCCTGCTATTATCTAACACACGCGTGAAGCTCCCTCCCTTCCCCAGCACCCATCAGTTTCCTTGGTTACAGAGGAAAGAAGAGCAACCCGACAGCTGGCTTTCTAACTCCTTCCACAGTTCACACTGCCATGTGATATGAACAACTACACCCAAGTGGTCCTTACGGCACCCAGGCCTCTGCTACAGGGCCCCTTCCAGTGGGACATTAATCACCCTTCACACCCTGAACCAACATTTCACAGCCAGCTTCCAGAAAGACCCGATCAGACAACCTGGCGTTGTCCCATTGAGTTGGGCAGTGGGAAACAGTAGTAAAAAAATGCTAGTGAGACTGTATCAGAAAGGCCCACTTAACGCCGTGAAATCAATTCCTCTACAGCAGGATGACTAAGTCATGTATGACTGGGACAGGGGCCTGGAGGCTCTGTGGAGAACCGGAGGAGGTCAGAGTGGTGACAGTTCTGCTGTGGGCAAGCATGAGAGGACCCGTTGACTAAACCAATAGGCTGTGTGTGAATTGTGCATGAATCACAGCCCTAAACTAAAGCATTCGTCTCTTGATTTCGGTGTAGGCTGCAGCTACAGCGATGGGGGGCAACAAGGTGACAAGAAGAGTTTAATTAATTTACTGGAACTAGAAGTGGAAATAAAAGAAACCAGATCGCTTCACTGTAGACTTTAAACTACCCAAAAACCCCTAGAAACCATATAAAGCAAAGGCAAAACATCAGCTACAACCACACAACTGGTCCAAATAAACAGAATAGGCAGTATTTGCAGGAAAGATTGCTTGAAAAGAACTCCTCCAGCGGGTAAAGTAAAACAGTTTCTGGCACCATGTTAATTTCTGTGAAAGGTCTCCATCGTTCCAGTGGGGAATTGACTCCTGAAATGTATTTGTATCTTTTTTACACGCAGTGGGCTGAAATCTGAGTAAGAATTATTTCTACTTATCCACAAGAGGTACTTGATGCAGATGCAAATACGCTGTTCATGTCTCTGCACTGCTTCACCATCTATTATATGATGAACAAAATATAAATTACTCATCCAGTACAGTACTCACCAAAAAGAAAAACAGAGGACTGAACCTTTCTTTCTCCTCAACACAGAAAAATTTTCATGAAAAAAAACCCCACTTGCACCCAAATAACTTTTTTTTTTAAATATTTTGCCAATGAAAAAGGTAGAGGAGGGATAAAAAGATTCCTTTCTGACAGTTTCAGAGTGGCGTATATAAACACCACCAAATCCCTACCAGACAAATGTCAGAATTCACACCAACATGCACAAAAAACCCCCAACCCACCAATATTACTGGTCTTCTTCACAGTTAGAGAAATAGGATTTTATTCTCTAAGTTCACCCACATTTCAAGATGTAATATGAAAAATATTTGTACAGATGCTAACATGAACCGAAGGCTCTGATCTTGTGTTCTTCAGCAGCACTGCACGATGCTACCTGACTCGTGGTACATGCTGTTTTGTACCCAGTACATGATCACACACAGGCAACCGCTCTAGTTTTTTTTCCTAGTACCCTTTATCTACAGTGAGCGTCTACCGTAGTATTCCTCATCTTATCTTCATTACATCTTCCATCTTTCATACTTAAACACACTCACAAGAACAGAAGGAAATGAAGGCCTTTGAAACTCTAGAATCTGAAATACTAGCATGTTGGCCCCCAAAGAGGTTTAATTTTAGAAGGAAAAGGATTTACTTTTTCTTTCCCTCCTCAGTGAAGACTAACCCTGGAAAACCCAATGTACTGATACTGGCAGATTACAAACCAGGGAGAGCCTGAATGCCTGTGATGACTATTAATCTGAATCCCTTTTTCCCTTGACTACCTTCCTCTTCCTATAACTTGCTTTTGAACAAAGTAATGATCAAACTTCAAATACCTACAATCAACTTCAGCTTTCTCTTAATGAAAGAAAGAATGCTACATTACAATAGAGTATGAAAATTACTTCTTCGGTGGTACAGCCTGAAAGGTTGTAATTTCCATCAGAGCCTCTTGTAACTCCCACTTGGCAAAGCATCTTGTGTCATAGGATGCTCTCAGAAAATTGCAGGCTTTGGGAACGTGCAAAGAATACGTAATGTGTGCCACATAATTATTAAGTACGAGTTCCCTTAGGCACAGGATGCAGTTAACAGCAACTTACGCAAAGATCGCTCTGCACACAGGGATGGCACCTTAGGAGCAGGTATGTCACACTTGCAGAAGGAATACACTGCCTGCGTAGCAAGACTCAGCCAGTCAAAAATGTCAGGCCAGAGGCACTGAAGAAAAAAAAGGGGAGAGCTTGAGGGATACATCTACAGAAAATCACCCATCTCAAGAAGAAAAAGGAAGAAAATGTGCCATACAGATCAAGGAAGGAGGACAATTATGAATGGCACAGATTGAATTTCCTCCCCTGCTCATAGTGGGTGTCTTTTCAGAAAACAGAACAAACAAACATCTTGCTCAAGGACTGAGTCTGATTTTTAAGAGGGAAACTGCAAAGTTGATACCGAGATCTAAGGAGCTTTAACTGGTCCATCGAAGGCAAACACATGCACTTCTGGAAGTGAATCCAAGAACCACTTACAGTTTCCCAGAGGAATCAACTGTCCAGCTGACACGTTGTTACCAGCACAGCATCAGAAATACTCAGGGTATGCCCACGGATACAACACACCAGTTATGTGACCCTGCACTCAGGGACCAGCACTAAATTCACTTCAGACAACAAAGAACTTACAAAGTAGAGAACTGGTGAAAAATACAAATTATTTTTTTGTTTTCTGGTTTAAATTCTGACCTTTGCTGGTCACCAGCAGATGACCCGAGGTGACTCCTGATGGGCAGACCTCAGTACATCAGCATACAGTTTTCTAACAGGCTGATAATCACCACCTTTGCTTTCTGCTTTAGCTGTTCAGAATAAATAGCAACATAAGCAGACAGCAAACTTCTTCCCAACATTCTCAACGACTACACATGCAGGAAAGGCATCTAAAGCAGGATATCCTAAAACGAGGTCCGTATTCTCACCACAGGAATGCACGATTCTTTTACCTGAATGAGTTGCAAAATTTAAGTTTTAAATTGGCTCATAAACACAGCATTCCCAAGCCCAGCGTTTTGTCCAGAAAGAGTATTCACTGCTGAATCACCAACTAATTCCTGAAGGGATGTTCCACCCATGCCTCCTTAGCAAAGTAAAGATCACCGTTTGGTCTGTGAAGTACGACGCGACAGTTTGCTGGTTTATGAAAAGGGAAGGAGCTCCTTCGCTCGGCCTGGACACGCACAAGTCGAAGCGCAAACATTACTAAGAGGATTTTTACTTGCAAGAGCAGTCAGAGCTGTCATCCCACATACACTGAACATCCCACAGTGTTTGCCTCTATTTAAAAAGAACAGTATCAACTCTTTGGTTCATTTATACAGTGGAAGTCCCCTTCCACCACCACTGATTGCATTTTAAGTAACGGGAAAGGCCCTTATTTGGACAGAGGAGTGCCCAGCTTGCAATTTCAATGCAGCACTACACTGCTGCCCATTACCGGAGTGGTCCCACGCCCATCCTCAAGATGTCATGTGCCACGCAACAGACATCTTCGTCCTTATGCTTAGTCCACAGAGCTTCACAACCTGTACTTTCCTTAACCACTGTTAAATGCTTTTAGCAATTAAGTTCTCTAAACAGAGGGAAAATAATAAAGATTTTCGTAATTAGAGGACCCTCTCAGTGCGATATGAACACTCACAGGGGACGGTTTCTTCCTCATCTCAAAGGTGCGGGTAGCACCAAAGCTGAGCGAGGCGATGACAGGGTTCTTTCCCAGCGATGGTTCGTCGTCACTGTGCCAGTCGACGCCATCCTTCTCATTTCGGTAGAGGTTGCAGAGAAGAGAGTTGAAGGTGTAGCCAGTGAACTCCTCAACGCGCTCCTTCAGCGTGGTCAGAAGAGGATGCCACTGTAACCAGCACAGCAGGAGCAGGGTAAATAAAATTAAAGCAGCAGGTGACATCGGACACAAGGGGAAAACTACTCAGAAACTAAATATGCTGCACTTTAATCACAATGAACTTGAAATGAAACAAACGCCTCTGAACAATTCCGGTTATATTTTTAGTAAAGCTGAGGAAACAGGCATATGGTACCTGTCGCTCAGTACTAAATCACCTCTTAGAACTACAAAGCCAGTCTGCCTTTCATACTCACCTAGCCAGCCACCCCAGTCAATGGAAGGGTGAGAAAATCTGCCTCAACTGACCACAGATAAACACTGTGAGTTCTTAAACTAAGACAAAAAGGGTGCGACTTCTTCTGTGCATACCTGGTTTTTTTAAACCTCCTGGCCAAGTGTTGTGGTTTAACTCCAGC